GGGCGGAGCCATGTAGATTTGTTGTTTTGGCAAAGGCAAATGAAGCCGCGATTTAAATGATCGCGGCTTCATTTACATTTACATGGCTGCCGCGCTGAGCGGACAAACAGCTGATCAGCTGTTTGTCGGCTCAGCGCGGCAGCCATGTAAATGTAAATGAAGTCGCAATCATTTAAATCGCGGCTTCATTTGCCTTTGCCTATGTGTCTAATCTACATGCCTCTGATGACAGAGGCATGTAGTCTAGACACAGCCTTAGAGAGAAACTTAAAAAACAACAAATGGTCTGGTAGCACTTTAAAGACCAACTTGGCTGCCCCCTGAAGCTTTTCAATTAGAGAGAGACTGCAGAACTGGCTGATTCTATATATTTTTGTTAGTTTCTAAGGTGCCATGAGACTACTCGTTTTTACAGTGTCAACTGAAATCGGTGAGAACCCGGGCTGCTCCAATGGAAGGCCTTTCTGATGCAGACAGACCGCTGATCACATTGGGCGGTGATGGTGGTGGTGGGTGACGTGCAAATGAGTGTTGCACACAAACTACCAAGTGCCTTTTCCCTTGTGTCTTCATAAAGCAGGATCTGAGCACACATCTTGGAGCAGTGGCTCTGTGTGGAACACAGCCCAAGCTCATGGTGATCTCTAGCGAGTTGTGTGGCAAAGGAAAGCTAGAGTCAGTTGTTCGAAATGTACTAGCAAACCAGTACATGGTATGCTACTCGCCCATAACTTGTTATATCTTTTCTAGCATCCATAGTGACTCACTCCAAGTGCTGCTCTCCAATTTACAAAGTCTTGGCAGCCTTTTTGTTGGCCTCTGCTGATACATGTCGCAATGGATCATCTCCCATTCTCCCCAGAGGGTCCAGGGTTCTGTAACTTTATATTTCTGTCCTTTTTTCTGAAGGTCTGCGAAGCCCCCTTTCAATTCTTTCCGCTGGCTTTAGATCAGCGGAAATCAGGAGCAAACACAAATACAACTGGACTACTCACTGAGCACTGGGTTCCCCTCGCCAGCACGAATCTGAGTTACCATTGATTTCTTCTGCTGCCATTGACCATCTGGAGGAACTTGGGGCTTAAGATCACTGCTCCCTGCCTCAGTTTCCCCATCTGTAAAATGAAATGATAGTTAAAAGTACTTTGTAAAACACTATCAAAGAATTAGACATTATTCATTATTATTCAGTGGGACTGGAGCATGTACTTAAGTGTTTTGCTTTAAATTCTTTGCTGAAAAATGGCCTTGACAAGTTCTCTGTAATTGCCCAGCTCTGGTGAGCTAGAGAGTTTAAAATGCCAGGGCCAGTTTGGTAACCCAAGTTATTCAGGCTTTGCATTCTGGCTTTCTTATTCACCCCCGCTCACCAGGCTGAACAGTTGTCTACGCTTATGGCATCTGCTTAGCCATGGTGATAGAGGGGATGTAATGAAAGGGCTTCCTTCCTTCTCTAGAGTCAAGGCTAAATGGGAAGGATAATCTTGAGTCTTGAAGGATTCTGAAGCTAGAAGTTGTTGTGACTCAACTCTGTCTCATACATATTTTTGTATCATGATAATGTAAAGGCCAGAACCTCATTGTACTCTACATCTAGCAAAGGGCAGGTCTACACTTACTGGGAGATTGGTGCCGCGGTAATTGATCCCCCAGGGTTTGATTTAATGGGTCTAGTAAAGACCTGCTAAATCAACCACCAATAGTTCTCTTGTCGACTCAGTACTCCACCAGAATGAGAAACATAGTCGACAGGAGAGCTTTTCCCCGTGGAGACCATGCAGCACCTCAACCTATTTATGCAGCTGAAATTGGGTACAATCAGGTTGACATTGCTGCGTGGCATAGATCCGTCCAAACAGATGGTCCCTGTCCTGAAGAGATTACAATCTAAAAAACAAGGCAAGAGACAAGCAAAGGGTAACTCATAAAGAGATATAATGAGTTCTCCACTGAATATTCTGGGTGCATCTTGCTGAAAACCAACATGCTAATTGGATGGTGCCATCAGCCTGAATCTACTAGATATAGAAGTCCATTAGTTTTAACAAATTGATGGACTACCAATGGCAGCGCAGCTTGTGGAAGGGTCACCAGGACACAGGAAAAGAATTAAGAGCCCGTCAGCTGCTGTAGCTTTGGACTTGTTCATTCTATTTCATTTCCTGTTGTCCTGTATTTATTCTGCTGTTTTGTTTTGATAAAAGACATTATTCTCCTGAGGCCGAATCAATGGGTCTTCATACATCTGATGCTGGGAATGTGTTTCCTGGGTGTGTTGACTGGCTTCGTGGCTTTCCTCCTTGACTTCATAGAGATAAAGAAGCTAGGAGTGGCGCGTTTAATCATTTCAAGTTTCCTACACATATTGTCAGGTAACTTTTGTTTGTTGAACAAATGGGTGGGTGTGTGTGTGTGTGTGTGTGTGTGTTGAGGTTAGCATAATCTTAATATGAACAGAAGAATTTTCCTGTTGTGTTTTGTTTGTTTGTTTGTTTTAAGAAAAATTCCTTTTGTTTCAATTACATTTAACTTTTCCTCGGAAGGGTTGAAACCCCCAATAGCAGCAGCATTGGGCTAGTGCAGAAGAACCAGAAGGTGACTGCAACTAGATTCAAAAGTGAAATATACCAACCTGATTTCACTGTGCAAAGCCTCGTCAGTCCTATCCACTTAAGAGGCTCACTCCTGGGCCAGCTGAGTTGTGATGGTTCTGCGACTGCCTTTTGAAATGCTGCTTCTAATGGATTTCTATGAAACATTCATATTAAAAAGTCCCAGGGGAATCAAAGGCAAGAAGCCAGCAGCCAGCATGAAGGGTGAAAAGCAACTAGCTGATCACAGTGATCCCTGAGGCCCTTAAAATCTATGCACCTATAAATCAGCCATTGTACAATATTAGCTTTAATAGACTCCCCCACCCCGCCACCCACCCACAAGCCACATTGTTGAATCACACTCTCAGTGATGGAGTAGATAGTCTTTTCATAGGACAGCTACTAGGCAGGGGAAGTCAGATGGGCTGATTTCCCCCTCACTCTGGTCAGTGACTCACTAAAAGGACCCCGTAACCAAGAGCTGTAGTCTCCTCCAGCATAACCCAGAGGATCTTAGTTCAGTCCGTTCCTTTGAATTCTTCTCTTTTCCATGGGATGCAGGGGGTGGTTAATAGCTAGGGGGGTGAGAGACAGAGCTTGTTCTCTTGTACTGTCTCTTACACCTGTCGCCTGGGGGAGCAGAACATCTTTTTTCTGAAAAGGGGGTATGTGCCCAACTAATCAAAGTGCTGTATGCAGTTTTAGGGTCATAAATACCTTTGAAAATCCCCCCAAACTGTGCACACAGGCATAGGTGACTGGTGCCAGGGCGGGGGAGTAATCCAGGGAAGGTCACTCACAGGAACAGGGAGGGGGCATGAGAGGGAACCCCATTTAGCAAGGGGCAAAAGGGGCAGTGCACCTCCCAGGTGTTACCACAACTTGCCGATGCATGCAAGTCTCAGAGACTAGATCTTGCTGTGCTGGTACTGCTGTCTTTACACTATAGCTCCATCATGTGATCCGGGAGCTGGTTCATTGTGTCCCCTAACCTGTTGTGCCTAATGGGTTCAGAGTGAAAACCCTGCCAGGCATTACAAAAGGTGCTGGCAAAGTGACAAGTTGCCCTCATGGGAAGGCTCAGCGTGATCTTATCCCAGTGGTTCTCTCACTGTGGCTCATCGCCCGGGCCCAAAGCAAAGCCTGAGGGTGTGGAAATTTCCACTCCACGCATCTGATGAAGTTGGGTTTTGTCTACGGAAGCTTATGCCCAAATAAATCTGCAAACTTCTCATTGTTTTTGCGGATACAGACTGACTTGCCGTAAAGTCACTGCCTTTCTGTTCTTCACTCTCTTTTCACAGCTGTTCTTTGTGCGTTAGTGCTGGTGTTTTGTACTTGGCTCTTAACGATAATCCAAACATCGAAAACCAAGGAACTGTTAAAGGTATACCATTATGCATCGTCCCTGGGAGAAAGTTTCTACTTAACCATCGGCGGGTTTATTTTAGCAAGCCTCGCATCCATCTTTAGCATCTGGTCACTGAAGCTCTATGAAAAAGACTCCCCTCCGGTTGAGGACGTGGAGGAGAGCACAATCAAATCAAGCCACCAATTTCGTACAAGTTCTCGACATACCGTGGTGTTCTCTTGAAGTCCATGAGCAACACCAATTTAGAGCCGCTGGAGAGTTTGACCTGTATTTCTAGAAGTCTGTTGCAAGGCAGTGGGTGCCAGATGTAACTTTATCATCCTATGAGATGCATATGGTCATTTCCATAGGCTGTTTTCAAACTGTAGAGCAGAGAAATAGAAGCCAGTAAGCCATATAGCTAAAGTTTTCTATATGTTACTGCTCAGAAACACCTTGGACCTTTTGTACCTTTGAATAGTCATTGAAAAAAATTCCATAGATGCACCCTCTGCAGTGCCATTTTTTAATAATGATTAATCTGTCGTCCATTATATTTATTTATTACGGAGGCTGAGAGATTGGGGTCTATTTGGTCTGCAGAAGAGAAGAGTGAGGGGGGATTTGATGGCAGCCTTCAACTACCTGAAGGGGGGTTCCAAATAGGATGGAGAGAGGCTGTTCCCATTGCTGACAGATGACCGAATGAGGAGCAATGGTCCAAGCTGCAGTGGGGGAGGTCTAGGTTGGATATTAGGAAAAACTATTTTCCTGTGAGGTTGGGGAAGCACTGGGATGGGTTCCCTAGGGAGGGGGTGGAATCTCCATCCTAGAGGTTTTAAAGACCCGGCTTGATAAAGTCCTGGCTGGGATGATTGAGTTGGGTTTGATCCTGCTCTGGGCAGGGGGCTGGACTCTGACCTCCTGAGGTCTCTTCCAGCCCTAGGATTCTGTGCGTGGGGAGGCACTTGATTATTGAAGGGAGTTTTTAAGGGTGCTTGCGGGATGATGACCGTTGGAATTAATATTCGAGAGTACAGTTGGTTCAGTTTGCAAACGGGGATGTGGATCGAATCAGTGGGTACAAACAATTCTATCGCCCATGTCATTCAGGAGGTCAAAGCATGATAATTTAACGGTCCTTCCTGGCATACCGAAAGGGCCCGTGATGTATGTATTAACCAGCTGCAGGTGGCAGAAACGTGCCCTTTTCCGAAGTCCCATGCAATCCGCTGCTTGCCCAGAAGATGGCAGCGACATATCTCCTATTCTTGCCTCACATCTCTATGGCAACCGGCGACAAGCACAGGGGAGAAATCTAGAGGGCAAGTGCAAGGTTACAGGAAGATCCTCTGCTTCCCAGAAGGCTGCTGATTTCACAACATGCTCTTGCGGAGGGTCACACAAACTTCACTTTTTAGCTTAAAAAAATCCCAGGCAGTGGACACGCCTGTGGGTCTTCTGATGACTCGTTAATCGTCCGAGGTTGCTGCTTCGCCATCTGGGGGTGAGGGTGGGAGCAGGTTGAGGAAAGGATTCCCCTGACGACAGCGCCAGTGACGCCAATACGCTCTCTGAGGTGGGCGAAGCAATGAAAATGGGAGTGCACAGAGTTAATAACCATCGACGGGCAGTTCTCTAGGCCGGCGGTTTTCACCCTTTTTTTTTTCCCCCTCGGGACCCAGTTGAAGAAAATTGTTGATGCCACGACCCTACATATCTTGACTTGTGTGTGGGCTCCGGGGTGGGGCTGAGGCTCCAGCTTGGGGAAATGGGTCAAGACTGTGGCAAAAGGGGCTCACCTTGAGTGGCTCCCGGTCAGCGGCACAGCGGGAGTTCAGGCAGCTTCCTGCCTCTCCTGGCCCCGACGCAGCCGGCAGCAGGTTCCCAGCCAATGGCAGTGCGGAGCCAGTGCGTGCAGCCCTGTGCTCTCTTCTCCCCCATTTAGGAGCCAGGCCTGTTGCTGGCTGCTTAGCACCCCCACTGCTCACCTGGTCCGCCTGTATCAATGAGACCCAGCGCCTGACATTCCGCGCCTGCCCGTCCTAGGTCGCAACCTGTAGTTGGAAAACCACTGGTCTAGATCATTCACTTAGGCCCTTCATATATGAGCTCGCCTTTTTTGTTTCTGCTTTCCAGCATGCTACAACCCCAAATAAGCTGCCTAATACGTGTTGCTTAATCCTTCCGCAAGCTTCTGGAGGGAGCAGTAGAGGGAGCTAAATAGCATGCAAAAGCTAGTCTCTGTGTGAAAGATCAGGACAGCTGTTTCCATAGATTTGCATGCACAATGTTTGCAACAGGAGGCCAAGGTAACACTGTGTTGTTTTGGGGGTCTTGTCCCCTGATACACATTCATCAAAACTCTTAGCAGTTCCGGGGACTTAACGCACACATGTGCTCAGAACCCTTGTGGAACCACGTTCCAGCCTGGCTGGAACTCCGTTGAAGTTTGCCTGACGTGAACATACCCCTGTTTCCGACTGTCAGCGAGAGCACAGCGCAAACCATTGTCCAACAAGAGTAGTCGTAATATTTACTAATTGATTTTTAGTATTATTGTTTTCCAATCCCAAGGCTATAGTCACGTTTGACACTTAGCATCTTTCACCTGAAGTTCTTGCAGCACTTGACAAGTCTCAGTTCCTCCCAGCAGGCTGGTGAGGGAAGCAAGCAGTATCAACCTCAGGTGTAAAATGATTGTTATTTATTAACAGGTGCAAAAGCTGACCCAGATACCCGTTAAAAAGTGACTTTCCCTAAAAGAGTGAAATGGAAATTAAATCCTGCCATTGTGACTCCCTCACCCAGTAGTCCCCAACCTTTTGGGGCTGTTGGGGGCGGGGCTACTCACGCGCCGGGCACCCAGGGGCGGGGCCATGCACATGCCTGGGGGCGGGGCCACCCATACGGCGCGCACCTGGTGCTAGCACCACCCATGAGCTGCACTCCCGGGGCCAGCGCCACTCCTGTGCTGCATGCCCATGCGCTGCGCAGCTGGGACCGGCGCCGCTCCTGCGCTGCATGCCCAGGGACGGGGAAGCCCATACACCATGCACCCGGGGCCCGGCACAGCCCATGCATGGTGCGCCCTGGGGCGAGGGCGCCCATGTGCTGCATTCCCGGGGCTGGTGCCACCTCTGTGCCACGCACCCGGGGCCAGTGCCATTCCTGTGCGCCACCTCTGTGCCGCGCACCCAGGGGCTGGGACGCCCATATGCCACGCAACTGGGGCCAGCACAGCCCTTGCACCGTGCACCCGGAGCCAGCACTGCTCATGTGCTGAGCGCCCAGGGCCGGTGCTGCTCCTGTGCTGCACGCCCACAGCCTGGGCCACCCCTGGGCCGCGTGCCCGGGGCCAGCACCGCCCATGTGCCACATGCCCAGGGCTGGCCCAGACCTTGCACTGTGCACCCGGGGGCAGGGCCACCCACATGCTGCGCACCTAAGGGCAGGGCCGCCCATGTGCTGCACGCCCGGGGCCGATGCTGCCCATATGCCGTGCGCCCAGGTGGCCGGCACCACCCATGCACCGTGAACCTGGGGGCGGGGCTGGCCTTGTTCACTCGACGGATGCACAGAAATGGCCCGGCGGGCGCCAGGGCAGGGACCACTGCCCTAGTCTGTTCACTAATCACTAGATTGCATGTTCTCCTTTGTGATTGTGCCTGCTGCAAGATGTACACCTTGTGGCAGTGACTGGCACAGCAACATGGATGCCTTGCACCTGATGGTTCTAGTTCCAAACACCAGCTGATGGACTGGTAGGGTTTGAAGTCCCACCTTGTGAACAGCTCGGGCGAACACCTGTCCTCAGAAAATGAACATTACTTCACTGCTTGGACCCTTTCGAGGAGATATCCGTTCTGTGCCTTTGCTGTCTCCAATGACTGGCGGTAAACAAGCTGGGTTTTCTTTAGATAGCGCCTGCCAACTATAAAGTTGGCCCCAACCTGTTTAGCTTGACTTTAGAATCAAAGAGTCGTAGACTTTTAGAACTGGAAGGGACCCCAAGGGGTCATCAAGTCCAGTCCCCTGCCCTCACAGCAGGACCACGCACCATCTAGATCATCCCTGAGAGATGTCTGTCTAACCGGCTCTTAAATATCTCCAGTGATGGAGCTTCCACAGCTTCCCAAGGCAATTTATTTCAGTGTTTAACCACCCTGACAGGCAGGAACTTTTTCCTAATGTCCAACCTAAGCCTCCCTTGCTGCAGTTTAAGCCCCTTGCTTCTTGTCCTAACAGCTCCTCTTGATCTCAGGTTTCACAAGCTAAGTAGAATGTGACCTGCTCTGCCTAAATGGCAGAGATGCCAATGGTCTTCAAGATGGCACCCTTCTTTGGCACGATCCTTTTGCTAGTGATGCTGTCTCCCGGATCAGATGAAAAGGCAAGGTCCTGACCGCATGTGCTCATGAAAGGAATCTAAAACTTTTTTTGTTGGCATGAAAACATCCTGACCAACTTGAGTAATGACAGAGTGGGGACAAGAACCCCCAGGTCTCCTTACTCCCTGATCTCCATGCGCTGATCTCCCATCGTTTTTACTCCCAGCTCCATGCTCCTCCTTACATCGGCCTCGTTAAGCTGAGGACACTTGCCTGTCGAACTCGATCCTTCAAGCAGGTCCGCCAGAGCTCATCTGATAACTTTGCAGAGACACCGCAAGGCATTTTTAGTTTTCACAGCCCATTAATTAACAGGCACTTGATTGGTCATTCCCTGGGCTGCCGTGCTTCCAGGCACATCAGGGACAAGGGGTTGTCCAGCAGTAGAGGCTGGTTTATGATTCATTTGTCTTATAAAGCCCTTTGGAGCCTGCCTACCATGATCTAACACAGACCTAGAGTAAAAAATAAACCGCTCGCATGGGCACGGTGAGGATTAAGTAATATCTGCCCGGCACACTGAGCCATTAGGAGGGTGTGACGGGGGACGGGGCTCCGCAGACGCGGAGACCCCGACTCCCTGCACTCCGCCCGCTCTCATGGGCACTGGGGGTCCATTCCCGCCGCCAAGGCGGCCACACAGGGGGACGCAGAAGCACCTGATCTCCCCGGGGGGGAGGGGTCTGAGGCTCCAGGGCTGGAGAGAGGAGGAGGGAGCCGGCCACAGGAAGGGGCTAACCGGGGCGAGACGCGGGGTGACGTCATCGCCCCGCAACAGGAGGAGGCGGGGAAAGAACCGGCGGGGGAGTAAAGGGCCGGACAGCCGGCTCGGAGGAGGAGCCTGGAGCGAAGGCAGAACTGGGGAGTGGCGGGGGAAGACCCGAGCCCGGAGGCGCTTTCGGTGTCCGGCAGTGAGACTCTGGCCGGAACCCTGAGCGAGCGGCCGGAGCCCTCCTGAGCAGCAATGGGCCCATCCGGGCCTTGACTGGCGGTGGGGAGTACAGGGTCCAAGAGCACGGGGGTTAAAGGGTTAGCTAGGGGCAGGCAACCCTGATGATGACAGGCCTGTAAGCCTGAGGGGGGAGCCAAACCCTTGACAGAGGGAAAGGGGCTGTTGGAATAAGAAGTATCGGAACTTTGTACCGTAGCTGCCTCAGGGCGACCCGCAAGGATAAAATCCAGATCCCACT